TTTAGTTTTTTCATTATCTTTTTTATAATTCTTAATATTCTATATATTTTTATTTATTAATTATGTATCTTTTAAGTTTTTGATATCATTCATTTCCATTTTATTTTTTTTTTGTATCTTTAGTTTTTCATTATCTTTTCTTAAATATAATTTTTAACATTCTATGTAGCTTGGTTTGTTATTTTAGCGTTTAAAAAGATGCAATTCTAAAATGCTTAATAAATAACAATTTATTTATCTCTCTTCTTCCACGATTGTTATTTTCTTTTTAATTTAATAATAATAATTTAATACTCATTTCCACCAATGCCGATTAAAGAAGTATCAATAAGGCTAAGAAACGTGCAAAACGATTATACGATATTAAGATGATATTAACGTAATTAATTTAATGTCTAATAATGTTTAAAACTTATGTAATACATTTCGACTACATAGAGTCTCCTTCAGTTTGCAATAGTCAAAAGAATGATACAATATTTAAATATATATACAACTCTATAGCGGTGATGCGCAATCCGCGGCAATTCCGTCAATTAATTTTCTGAAACCCATTGATTCATAGCTGTAAATAAAAAATTTTATTTTCTGTAAATTATAAAAATAACATTATGCATAATGATTTAACAGTTTCATATGAGATATTTATATTTCCAAAAATCTTTAAGAATTTATATTTAAAAATGTAGCTATTTCATAAATAAATAGCCTATAAAATTTAGTTTATTTTTATAAAGTATCTTAATTTTTAATTTTTTAGCAGTAATACGCGATCTTTCTTAAATTAAGATCTATATCTAAAAATGACTTTCAGTTTAAGAAAAGTTACGCATCACTACTCTATAGAATAATACGATATTCAACTATTCATAGCTCTATAAGATAATACAATATTTAAATATACATATAAAAGAATAAATTTAGAGTAAAAAGTAAAAGATAAAAAATTTTTTTTAATAGAGTTTTTTCTTAGGGTGGTATTCGTAGACCGTTTTTATTTTAAGATTGTCTTAAGTATTATCTTAAGATGCTAATACGGCCTTTTGATTGGTTTGTGACATATTAAGATTGTACTTAAGACGATCTTAAATATAAGAACCAACTATGAATGCGAGCAGCGAGAAAGAATGAAACATAAAGATAGTGTTCAAGCTAGTAAGTAAAGAAAGATGAGACATCAAGAGGATGTGTTAAGATAATTAAATATGCGTAACAGATAAATCCGTTCATATCAATAAAAGTAATGAGTACCGTATTCATAGAATCAATGAAATTCAATGAAAAATTTTTATATTTAATCCGTAGATAAAATAGCATAACGATTTATCATTTCGGAGTAAGAAAAAGTTGAGTCCTAACAGCTGAACAAGTTTTTTATCATTGGTATTGACCTTATGCTGAAAAATGTTAAAAGTGTCCGTCATAAAATGATATAAAACTTTGCTCTAAGTTTATAATTCTTTTTATATGTAATATTTAAATATTGTATTATCCTTTTAACTATTGCGAAGTGAAGAAGACTTTGTGCATTTTGAAGTTACATCACATTAATTTCGAACATCATTGGACATTAAACTATATATTATTTTAATATCTTATGAATTCTTTTTACTCGTTTCTTGGCTTTATTACCACTCTATTTTTGCTCTGCACTCATGAGCTTGACATTTGCTAATATAGATTAATTTAACTTGTCAGTTCATCTTATACTTTATCTTTTTTTACATACAAAAAATACATACTGCATTTAAATATTATTTATTTCTTTCAAACATTTCAAAATTTATTCGCAAATTTATCATAAGTTTATCACAAGCATCAAATTTCAGGGTTACTACAGAAAATGAATTTAAAAATTCCCTAACTTTTCCAGATTTTCCAGATAAAAATAGAAAATATTCCATGACTAATATAAAATATGTAAATTTCAACATTCAGACTTCAGGAACGTATAAAAAAGCTAGTTTATATTATTAAAAATAACGCAAAAAAAAAGCTTAGTAATGTAGTAAAATTTTGGGTGGCAAATTCAAGTCAGCAAAAAATAAATTAGTTTTAGAAAAAAAGAATGTAATTATGACAAAAAAGAGGGATCAAATAAAAATATTGAATAAAATATAGATTTTAATTACTTTATTAAAATCGTCTAAAGTGCGCAAGTTTTAAATGTATTTGATTATAAATGTCAGATATAATATTTAAAAAATTATAACAATTATTTGAAATAGGAGCAGTTTAAGGAAATTGTGAGCAAATTTCGAAATTCCAGACTTCAATTTCCCTGACTTTTCCCGGTTTTTTAGGTAGCAATCCAGAATTTATTCATATAAAATATATTGTCAATTCTAGTAGTCATTATGCTTCAATCAAAACTATTAAAGTTTATTTGCTTATTATATAAAGTCGTTTTTCTGCGATAAAATTTAATAGATTCTTCAAGAGAAAATAAATTCTTATTTTGAGTACATCACAAGTTTTTCTAAAATTTCTAATTGAATATATTTTAAGACTATTATTTAGAAAATATCGTTTGCTAAAGATAATTATCACTTAAAAGAAAAAAAGTAAACTGAGTAATCACTTTTCTTAGCAGTACATTGATATTTTTCTGTGTTTAGCTCTAAGAATTATAAAAAAATAAAGATTAAGCTGAATCGAGATTAAAAAGTTAATTTACATTGGTAGAAATGAACACAAGGGACAAGTAATAGTAATTCTATATAATAAGGACAAAATTCGTTCAATTTAGCTGAAGTTGTAAATAACGATACGCTTCAATAACAATTAATTCCCCTATTATTTCGCGTTCAATGGTGTAAAAATAAATGACAACGTACTTGACGTCGTCCGCAGACTTTACATATATGTTTTTCAAGAAAAGTTTTTTTCTTCTTTTCCACACATTAACGAGAGAATTCCAACACGTGATGTTTATCCGAGATAAATACCTATACTAGTAGCGCGAATACTCTGTTATCGTGATTTGAAAAGCATGCCATAAACCCAAGACTCAAGACTTTTCCATTGCAAATTTCATATTGTTGGTAACCCGACGTGACATTAAGCCGCCTTGCCATTCTTAACAAGAGGATCGCAAGCTTCATCTAGGTCGCGCCGACGAAGCCGCGAGAATCGTAAATCTTTTAGGATTCCGTATGCACGTTCCTCGGAGTCTCTCTCTTCTTCGACTCATCTACCCTCGGAATTCTGCTTCAGCGATTCCGCGAAGGCGCGATATCTGTATCTTGTAACGTGACACCGCAGGAGAATGCTTCTACGAATCATGCTACAATTCGGACACGTGTTGTCCAGAGTCCTTGAGTTGACTTTAATCCGTAGAAGAGCTTTCCTCGAACGAGATCAACAACGATTCTCGGTTTCTTCACTTTCATATAAAAACCCTCAATAAACATCATTAACAATATTACATCAATATTATCATTTCCTACTCAACAATTAATTATTACAATATGTGTTACATTACGTTTATATTATTAAGTAAGAAATTATTGTAGTAAGCCGGAAATCCAAAAGGAGTCTTGGAGAAGAAGTAGAAAATTATAATACTGATGTAATGTTACTTGTTAGTTAATGTTTACTCTGCAGTTAATTCGTCTCTCTCTCTCTCTCTCTCTCTCTCTCTCTCTCTCTCTCTCTCTCTCTCTCTCTCACTTTCTCTCCCTTTTGTATGATTATTCTAATTAACGTCGATCACCCCTGTAAATTCCTTCGATCCAAGAGTCAACTGATACACATGCACTGTCGCGGAAGTAATGCGGCTCTTTTTCTTTTTTTATATGTTTGATGTCGTAAGTAAGCGGCGAGTCACTGCGTGAGAAATGTGTCTCTCTCTTTCTTTCCCGTCTCTCTTACCGCTTGACACAAGTATACGTACGAAAAATGCTACCTCCCACTAGCAACGACCGTGCTCGACTGCACTCGTTGTGCTCTTTCGCAAGCACCGAGGCAACACACACCTGTTCCCGAGGTTCCTGTCGCGAACTCGCCTGATCGCCGATCACGCCGAGTCATCTTCATAACGCGCGAAGAAGAGATCGCCTACGGTAATTACTCAAGCAGATGTTACCGAGCTTTATACAACAACTTTTATGTGTTAATCATCTTGAGTAAACAAATGTATCTCAATTACCCGAGATATTTCTACGTAGTAGACTTTAACGACCAAACTGTGCCAGCACGCGTATCCTGAAGCAGAGATAATAAGATTAGGATAAAATAAAAATATTAAATGCTCCACCGAAGAGAAAAAGCTATGTGGCGAACATATAAATGTAGAGCAATAATATTTTAATTGATTGTTTTATACTTTTATTATTTGAAACTATTAAAGATAAAATGTAGTAAAATTTACAATGCCTGCCAAAAATTTCCAGTCAATATATCGCTCATTTGTTATAACAATGGCACAACTCAAAAAAGTTTTTTTCCAGAAGACGAATTTTAATGTTTGGAACATTAAAATTTTGTAATATTAATTTTGAACTGCAATTTGCATGTAATAATTGATTATAGAGTAATACAATTATGTATGTTCTTCTAAAGTAGATATATTCTAATTTTTTAAGTTTCTTTCTGTAAGCAATTAAAATATAATTTTTTAGTTATATTGTTGTTGTAGCACATGAGCGATGTAATCTTACAGATAATTTTTGTCAATCTTTTTTTAATTTATATTATAAGTTAAAAATCTCTAAGATAAAAATCTTGTTATAATCAATTTAAACACGATATTTTAAACGTAGAATACATTTGTATATTAAGATTTTTATTTGTAAATATTCTTTATCTAAACAATACAATAAAATTACTCATTGGCAAGCCGGAAACTTTTGACAGTCACTGTATTTCTAAAGTACACAAATTAAGTTGATTACCTTCAATGACTTGAAGTAGTAAACAGTTCGAGTATAAACAGATTAAAAACTAATCTATCCTGTTTTCAACTTTATTATAATTTTATTTCTAAAATGAATCATTTTTTATATCAAATTTATAGAAAATTCTCTCAATAATTTATTCATAAAACACAATTTGGCCATAAAAGTCTTTTTATAGTAACGTAATTCTATAGTAATTCTATAGTAACGTATATTCTATAATAACGTAATAAATATATCACATAAAGTGTGCAATAATACATTTTTAATATCATTTTTTATAGCTTTGCGCGATTATCAATAATAAAAAATGTTCTCGATGCAGTGATGAATCTTTAATGTATCGCTCGTAAACATCGTAACTATTACGTTTCTCCCCAGTTATGTATCTAATTGCAATTGCATTTACATATGTTGCGTTATTTGACGATACGATGTATTATTCAGCGCGCAAGCTTGACAGGTAATAATTTCCTCCGACAATGCCCCGAGTTAAGAATCGAACGATGAGAAGGTAGAGAGCGTGCTTGCCTACTCTCAATACGAGCACGCGATAAAAAAGACGTCTGCTTTTACTAAAGCGGATACTAGACGCACGTTGTTGATTATGCTCGAATGATACATATTTTCTAGATTATAGTTATCACACTCATGACTTGAAACTGTCTCACAGTTCAGCATTCGACATGTAAAAAACTAAATACAAATTCGAAGATTGATATAACAACCTGCATACATGTACAACGTTACGTTAAATGTCAGTAGACACACAGCTCTGATATTTTTAATCAAGAGTCGTAATACGTGAATCTAAATGCGGTACAGTCAGATCTCTCATGGCATCCAAATGAAAGGCCTACCGCAAGTCTTTCACGTGATATAATTCGAGAGATTAGTTGAATTGATAAATATTGAGAATATAAATACAATTATTACTGCTTGGCATGTCGGTTATAAATAGTAAAGAACCGCTTACCGCTTTCCGCTTGTCCTCCGCGCTCAAGGCACTGTGGCTCCTGTGCCTAATGAGATCCATGACTTTGCTCACAGGATTCCTGCTGCTCTCAGATCCAGCTCTAGGCCGACCGCTTCCTTGGTCTCTATTCTCCTTTTGTTCCTTCTGGCTTTCTCTATGATGTTCCTTCTCCGTATGTACATCCACCGACGAGCTTCCATGCGAGCCTCTGTGCAAGGAATGCTGGACAGACATATAATAAAGAAATTAGTAATGTTATAATGTATAACGTACTTAATAGTAATGTAATGAATGAAGCTTTCTAAAATGTGATATTTCCAATAAACTTCTATACAACAATTGCTAAAGTATCTAGAAACTTAGCTGGATCTCTCTCTCTCTGAAAATAATTTTGTTGGATCATTAAAATGATTATGTAGAAGATGGTTATTGGAATGTCCAAATTTTTCGCAACGTTGCTCATCGTGCTTAAGTGTTTTATGTGTGTCATTATTTTATAGTCCAATATATAAAATTATTTTTAAATCTATATTTAGTTAAATTTTTAGATACTTTAGCGAAACCATTCCTTTTGTAGACTGATAACGATTAAATTTATAGTTTTGATACAAATTTTTCAAAATTGAAGGATTTTATATAATTTAACATATCACAATCACAGTTGCCACTTCTGTGGTCGAAGATTCTGACTTTTTTAACGAATCTTCGGCTCTTTAACTAACTCTAAATTTTTATAATGGTGATTTTTTTTTATAAAACGGTGATGTACAAATGATGCCGATTTTCTTCATTTTCATACGCATGTAGAAAGAGAAATGAGAAAGAAATAGATAGATAAATGTATGCGTGTAGGAATAGATAAAAGGAAATGCATTGGAGAAAGTATTGTATATAAGGCTGTAATAGTGTGAATATGAAAGATCCGTGAAAGAAATAAATATAAAGAAATTTAGATTTAGATTGGTATAGTCATGTAGACTGTAAACAAAAGAATAGATAGAAGTAGTAAACCAGTTCCTCTTTTGAATTATGTATGTTGAAGTGAATAAATTCTATTCAATTTTTTATAGGCCCATTGATTTTCCTTCAGTTTTAAAAAGAAATCTCCAGCGGGAAGCGCTAAAGTTGATAATTTTTTTCTTTAGAGAGATCGATTACAAGGCAATAATATCTTCGGCAGATAATCGATCTCCGATAAAAAGAGTCATCTGTCTGCAGCAGACTCGAAAGGTGGCAACCGTAATCACTAACCATACATATCACATTTCTACTGTAATTTTATAATGCGTATATTGTTCTCTCGCTTGTTGTACCTGAACGGCATTTTTCATATTAGCTATAATACTGGGCTTCCTCTTGCTGGCGTCCGACTTGCTCCTCGGCCTGAAAGCGTCGAAGAGCGCCGGCTTTCTCGTAGGGCTAGCAGTGTCATCCGTACCACCGCCACTTCTTCGACGTTCCGCGCTATTACTGCGACTATTACTGCGACTGGTGGAACCGGACCGAGTACCGGAAGTCTTTCGGCCGCCTTTGCCGGAACTCGATGAACTCGACGGTTCTGCTGGCTGCGGAAGCGGCGTAGATTTTCCAGAACTAGGTGCGCTCCCGTAAGACGATTTTCTGATCGGCTTCGAGTGCGATCCCCACGTATCTGCAAGTCAATTTATTTCCATAAGTATAGTGTACAATTATTCCATAACTTAGTTTACTATGATTGACTATTTACTATTTTATTTGCAAATCAATCATTCAACGTAATACGGACATTACACGATTAATAATACTGTCATCAACGAATACTGACATATTATTGATCTGGATTTCTAAATTCTCGGGTATCAGTGTCGCTTCTGTAGAAGATACTGATGTTCGAGAATAAATAAATCCGGCTCACTATCAATATTTTATCAATATTCTAACCGGACATAAATAATATTATCAGTATCTGTTAATACTAATAAATGGTATTATTGAACGTGTAAGGTATTTTCAATAATTACTGATCTTCACTCGCATAGACTAACTATTTTGCGTATTCAAAAAAATATAAATTTTCTGCTACACAGATAAACAAATAATAATTACGCGATACGGATCTCCTTGCAAAAAGTGAATATATCGTTCGCGTGCTCCGGAAGAGAAGAAAATATAATGACCGGCATACACGATCGTCGATTACTAACTCACCTGCTCGTGGCCTGTGACCTTGAGAAACATGCCCGGAATTATCCGTATCCTCGGTCACGATCGTTGGTAATGGTTGCGAACCAAGCTCCTGAAAAGAAGAAAGTGGTTTTAGAGACGATCGATCGAGTTGTCCGCACGAAATCCCGAAAACATTCAGGGACTTTCGGTTACAATTCTAACGACTTCTCGTGGGAATTATTATAAGCTGCAAACCTGAAGACAACACGCGAGAAGCGGTGATTAGATATCGCTATTTAATCGCACGATAGGCGATACAGAGCAATTATTTACGCACACATTTTTGCAATTTGTAAGCTCTTCTCAGCCGCGATGAGTGCAATGCAAGATACGTCCACGAGCGCAGGGAGAAATTTTGCATTGATTTATTCGAATATTAAAGAAAAAAAGGAGATAAATAAGATAGGCGTATCCAATTACATAATAATAATATCTTTGGAACTCGTCCAAGAAGAGATTCACTCTGGGAAATGTCCAACGAATGGCACCGTACGATCGCCTGATGTTCGCATCTCCTAGAATGTTTTAACAAGTCGGATCTATTTTTATTCTGTTACTTGGTCAACTGCACATCGCGCTATACAACAGATTATGAATCATACTTTATCAGCTGAAATACGTCAGTTAATGACGTAATTGTTCCTAGCATTTATAAAAAAAAACAAATAATTAATACTTCACTTAAGCAACAAGAATTCGTACTTTCCGTAGTTTACAAAACTGTATCATTATCGCTCATTTACTGTAACTCAATTTTTACACTGTAATCCATAAAATACTAAATTTTAATAAATATTTGTTTGAATAGTTTTAAGCAAGCGTTTACTAAATATAACAATGTATTTATTTAGTAGAAGAACTATTAATTTGATTTAATTATCATTTTTTTCATTAAATAAATATTTATTTGCTACAACTAAACGTTTACTTAGTAATATTCAAAGAAATATGTATATTAAGATTTAGTAATTTTTTCAGTGCTGCACACAAAAAAAGAATGGAAACGTAAAAAAAATATATTTTTGAGAAATATATTTATATTCTTCTAAATCATTTATTACCAAAATTGTACTTCAAAATAAACATTACAAAATTTTTTAATGATTCAAAACCTTTATTTTGTAGAGAACTTTAAGCAAATTCAACTGGACGCACTTATATTAAAGCCGTCGTACACAAACTGAAATGCAAAAGTGTGTTTAATGTAAATGTAGAAACAGGTTAAACCGTGAAATCTTCGATGCATTTTGTTGCGTGCTGTTAAGTGAAATATGCATTTTACAAATCAAAATATTTGCATGTCACTTTTACAGTCCAATTAAATCAGTGTACAACGGCTTTAGCATGCACCAGTGCACACTTGTGCGTCCAACCGAATTCACTATTTGTTTTTTGAGTTGTGCCGTTGTTGTAGCAAATGACGTCGATATTTTTATCTGTAAATCTTTTTGACGAGGAAAGAGAATGCTCGAAGTGAAATCTCCGAAAGACTCTTTAAGAACAGTTTGGGAAATTGTCGTTTCGTGTTTGTATGCGTAACAATGTTCAAAAAAAAAAAAATACATTCATTAACGACTAAGGCGAGGCGAGCACTGAAAAAAAGTCTGCCAAACGTATTTCATTTAGCGCATTTATACAATAGTTAGTAAATATTACCAAACATAACAATAGTGACCAACCATTATTTTTGGTAATAATAAGAAAAAATAATTTTTTGAAAAAGTAAAAATAAAAATTACAGTTTAGTTCGTTTTAGTTATATGTGAACCAAACGTTTGATTGAAATTATTACACCAAAGCTTTAGTGAAATCATCATCTTGCTTGATTATTATTACCAGACCTTTTTCAGTGAGAGAATAACGATGGGTCGAAATATAATTGCGAAATAACAAATTGCTTAGCGCATAAAAGGGATATTGATAGGCGCCCCGCGTGGATGTTCGTTATGCGCATTCACGTGAATTCCTGCGGAGCACAATGGGAGATGGGATCGAAGAAGGGCGCGACAGGATGGCGACCTTCGAGCGGTTCTCATCTCCAACCTCTTCTTCATTCATTATTTCTCTGTCTCTCTCTCTCTCTCTCTCTCTCTCTCTCTCTCTCTCTCTCTTTCTTTCTATCTATCCATCTATCTATCTTGCTCCTCTCCGTTAAAGTACCACTTCTCTTGCCAGAGTTGACACGGATGAATATATATCAGCGATATATCCACGCGAGAGCGAGATGTATTAATTTTGCACGAGCAAAAGGTACACCTCGCAAAATACCTTATAAGTCCCATGATACTCCGGGCAACGGTCCAGATACGGCATCAGAGAGTACTTCCGCACTTTCCCAACCAAGGGCACCGACATCCTCTCGCGATCATCGAGATGAGAACGACGCGCTTCCCAGGTGTTCATTTCAGTGTAGATATCATGCGTCCATCCATCGAGATTCCGACACCGAATGACAAGTGTCATGGATAGGGTGCTCAAATTATCTCACGACCACTATCTTTTCGCAACTCGTTATCGCGATAACGATTCTCCTTCGAGCAACGGTCATCGTTCGCTTCGCGGTAAGCGTTGTCTGTTTACTGCGCCGCATACAAAACGAATGAATTTTGCTGAAGTATATAAAAATTTTGCTAGATACAGATATAAAAATAATCTTGTTGCGTCATCAAAATAATTATACAAAACGCTTGAGCGTCGATAATGCTGCAAAAAATTTTAACATTCTATTATATATAGCAACCAGTTTGAACGTTCTACATAATTATTTCTACATAATTATTTTGATAGTTCAAGATTCAGATTCTGTATTTATACGGAAAGAACGGTTTTTTGCTGAAATATTAAAAAATTTTAATAAATGTAAATACAGATCTAAAATAATTTTGTCAGACCATTAAAATAATTAAGTGCTATGAAATATTATACTTAAGCATTGATGATAACATTGCAAAAAGTTTCAATATTCTGTATAGCAATTAGTTTAAGCGTTCTACATGAATAATTATTTTAATGGTTTCATATATTTTTTTCAATATATTATTTTCAGATCCATATCTAACCAAATTTTTAGATAGAGGGAGACTGAAGCTCGTTGACATAATTTTTACAAGTTTTTACAATTTCGGCATTAGAATTTTTAACAATTATTATAAACAATTAATTACTATACTTACTCTCTAAGTCTGAATCACTGGATAGTCACTAATTAGCCAGCATATTTGGCACTGGATAATCAGTAAAGTTCAATTAAAAAAGGAAAAATGTTTGAGCATTATATAACTAAAACACTGATATTTGCACATTAATTAAAATCTTCCAATATATTTATTGAATTTATGCACTAAAATAAGATTAGTTAAATTACATAATAAAGATTAGCTAGGTTAGAGATCTCACTGATTTCATTCACTGATTACCAGTGGCATACTTGGCAATGATATCAGTGATTATCCACTGATTCAAATTTAGAGAGTAAAACGTACTAATATGATAGAGAGAACCTTCCTCTAAATTTTCACGCCACAAAGGATTTTGTACACTGTGCAGTTTCTTTGTAGTAAATGAAATACGAGTGTGCTGCATTGTAGTCAATTCTGCATTGTAGTCAATTTGTCCCGATAGATGGAGTAAATTGATACGTATCACGGTGTGCCTCAAATCGCCTCTTTGATAAACTCTATAAATTAATGAAAACGTAATAGAAATAAAAAATCGAATGCACTTCTCAAAAAGAAATCCATGGAATTATCTCTCTCCGATTTTGATGAGTTTCAAATATGTTGTTTCTTTTTTAACACACGGCACACAATGTAGAGTTAAAGACAAGTAATAATTAAAGCTTGTCGCTATAGTCTCGCAAAAAAAACAAAAAAAACAAAAAAACCGATGCAATACAGACTAATTTAAAAACTGCGGTTTTGGAAGATTCGCAAAAATTCGTGTCTATCAAGATCTCAGTATTGACTGACGGCACGTGGATATGAGAATTCAGATACGCGTTCGTTTCCCTCTTTTAATTGACAGTGAAACATACCGATAATGATATTCTCTGGACAATTGTCATAATGACATTATTGTTGACGTCATCAAGAATAATTCCGTGCAACGTCCGTGTGGCGATCCATTTTTAGCGAATTTTATCGTGATACTGCTAGCTTGTTTTCTTACGCGTGAAAAGCTTATCCTACCGCCTACAGTCGCGCCGTTAAAGGCGGAACATCAATTATCAGTAGTGACAATATTGGCACAACGCACGTCTCAGTGCATGTCTCAGAAATTAAATATCGCTTTGCTTTCGTATCTCTTCCTTTCCTTTTTTTAAGTCCTATTTGTTTCATTTTTCTAATTTCATCTGTCGTTCTTTCTCAAAACTACTACGAGAATTTTACTGAAATATTTATCAATTCAGCTAGATTCAGATCTAAAAGTAATTTTGCTGCCTATCAAATAATTATACAAGATGTTGAAACTGGTTGCTAGAATGTTAAAACTTTTTGCAGCATTATCATCAACTACAAGGGAAGACGTGAACTTTGTTGAATTTGTTTTTAATTCAGCGCAGACCTAAAAATTAATTTTGTTGTGAACTATCAGAATTATTATGTAAGGTATTCATGAGGAATGCTGCAAAAAGTTTTGACATTCTAGAAATCAGTTTGAACGTTCTACATCATTATTTTGATCATTCAAATCAAATTATTTTCAGATCTGAAATCTATCAAAGTATCTAAATTTTTAAGATACTTTGGCAAATCTGTGTTTTCCGTAATAAGCTTATGGAATTATTTCGTTCTCTTTCCTTCTTTTTCTGTCTACATAAAATGTAATATTAAATCAAACAGACGAAGAACTGTAGATGTCAAAGATCAATATTGATTTCAATGAATCATAAAACTCCTTAAAAAATTGAATGAATCGCGCGATATGCACAGTGATCTGAAATGACGAAAGCGATAGAAATGTACAACGATCCTGGGAAAAATGTAGAAAATAGTGACCAAGCTTCGATGTAAGACATTCGAGTTTGCTTCGTTGTTCTAATTAATGTTGTTTCGATATTCTTTGCAACAAGGTAAAGATACGCACGATGGACACGTCAAAATATCTATCCATCATAAGACCTCGCCACGAGAGGCATCGGTAATTTCTCCTTCGAGTGAATCGATAGAGCTTAAAGGAAGCCTTGTACCACTTCGTTTCACCCCTTCCGTAAAACGTTAGAGCCGCATCGGGAGATCTGGGGCAAATGATATGACATTTAGAAACACATAATCTAGTCTTCCCTTCGTTACTTTTTAACATCGACACGGAGAAAATCGTTTTGCTACATCTTGTTTTGTGCTAACAGCATTTTAAAAAATCAGGTATAGCTGATGTTATAATTTTTGTTCAATTTATGTAACTGATAATCGTGCAATTTTTTTTCTAAATTTTTATATTTACATAAAATTTGTTTTATGTAAAATATTTTACATTCGTTATACATATTTATACATATTTATAACTATTGTAACGATTAAATTGATATTTTAAAATGTCTCAAGTTTTCTAATCGTACCACTATTATACCAGCAAAACAATTAACAATAACCTTGCTATTTGTCAGTTGTAAAAATAAACTCAGTTCTATTTCGACATCCTTGTCTTTTAAAATTAACCTCTCAAAAAAATTAATGATTGTGCGAGGATCGTTTGTCTATTGCAAAAATACTCGGAAATTCGCGATCATTATTTCCTACATTCGACTCATTTCTCATCGATTGTTCCATCGGGAAGAAACTCCGTCAGCCAACTCGCCAAATATATTATCCATTCTCAGAAGAAAGAAAAAAAGAAGAGGAAATAGGGGAAAAGCAAAAATCCCCTCGAGTTCTCTCTACCGATTCTATATATATCTTTTTTTTTTTTAAAGACATGCGATTGAATGTTAGGTCTGCTACTTATGGAAGCCGCACGCTAATAGCAAATATCTTCACAATGACGATTTTACGCTATTCACCGTGCAAAAGGAACGTAACAAGAGCGAGCTAATAAAAATGCAAAAATCTTATTCAGCAGGCACAATGACGCATTGAAAAAAAAAAACTCTGAATGAACAAAAAAGAGGAAAAGAAGTAAATCGACAAAACGCGAGCAGTGCGACCGTAATATTCAGGGCTACACGAAATTGCGTTATCAATCATTTATACAATAATGACGACACGCATCATCGAGCTTTTTAATACAGTATTTTAATAAAGTATTTTAATAAAGCATTGCCGAGAAAGAGAGAGACACACGCAAACGACACGAGAACGACGACAAAGTATTCAATTTCATTGCGTTGACGTACAACCGACGAATAATTGTGGCGCAATCGACGAGAAAACAACGAGCGATTCGCGAATGGGAGAAACGATGGGATTACTCGTACGAGCCGCTTTCGTAAGAATCGACCGGCTGGGATCGCTGTAAACAAATTTACGGGACTGCCTCCACTCGCAGCAATTGGTTAATTGGTGCAATTATAGGACGGAGCAAATGGAACGCCGACGCCGACGAGGCGCGATTGTCTACATGTCGTTAGTTCGATCCTTAAAGGGATAACGCGCGGAATAATATGTTTTTGTTTAAGCGAAAAAATATATTGTTGTTCGTTGGACATTTTATGCACACCTCATCAATTAAATATATATGATGTGTGCTAAAAAAAAAAAGAATGCGTTCTTTTACTAAACATATGAATTATAATATCAACAATATTAGCTGCGTTCAGCAGAAAAAGTAGCTTTGCAACTGTACGATTCTTTAACATGATTCGTTTATAATACATTTGGATTTAGTAAGAAACTAAGAACCAGAATATGTTTGACGGTATTAACTTTTAATCATATTAAGGAATTTTATAATAAATAACTTATTTTATTTTTATATGTTTTTTTTTTTTTTAAAAGAGTGTGTTTATCTATTAATTTTACCACAATTACAAAACTGCTTTTTCTGTTAAACGCGGCCATCAGTTCAATAATTTTGGAATGACACTTGTTCAATTCAGTCGAACAATTGCATTGCACGTGTAAAATTCTATTTAAAAAATTCATTCTTCTTTAAATGCATAGCACGTATAACAAACCGACAGCAAAAAAACGATTGCAAAGAAACCAATTTCATTTCAACAAATGAAATTAGTTTCTTTACAGTCATTCTTTTACATTCATATCTATCTATTATATTTGCTACTATATTTTAGCAACGTGCTGTCACGAGTAAATTTACTCAGTACACGATTTTTCTGCCTCACCAACACGAGCAACAAGTACTGTTGCAATATCAGACAGTTCCTAGGTAGTCATTAAGGTTTCGTAGCAGCCGCAGCATTAAAAGCAGGAGAATTCTTGGGGCGTCTCGTTAATATCATGCGGATTAATACTCGAGATAATGGCTCACTCACCCGTCGTTTTTTCTCCTGCACGAGATCCAGCCTGCGAATCCACACCTCCTCCGTGGAGTCGTAATCGAGAGTGCTGGTGCTGCTCGCCTGGCTTTTAATCTCGATCAGGCTACTGTCAAAGAACCGCTTGTCGAAATGCGGACTGGGCAACGGACTGGTCCTCGAGAAGGTCATACTGGTGGAATACGAAGGAGGATCCGTAGCGGGGAAGGTCATGCCTGGGCCGGTGGTATGTCGCCTTCTTAGTGGAGGTTTCGTCGTCGACGTTGGCGACGTCACGGTGGATGTTGTGAATCTACCGGAAACCGACGTCGCGACCGTCGTCGTCGCCATGGTCGCGCCCGTCGTCGGCGTCGTCATCGTCGTTGTCATCGTCATCGTCGTCGTCGTCATCGTCGCCGTCGTCGCCGTCGTCGCCGTCGTCATCGTCATCGTCGTCGTCGTCGTCGTCATCGTCGTCGTCGCTATTAACGACGGTGACGGTGGTTTCGCATCCGACACACTGGACGTCGCCAAAGACTTCTCGTCAATCTTCTCCGAACTAGAATTCTCCGAAGACGACGGACTCGACGCCTTCGACGTCTTGGAGGAGACGCTGTCCGTTTTTTCGACCTGTGTCTTCGACGTATCCTTCTTACTATCGACGCTCGGGCTATCAACGTTCTTCCCTGTAAAAGCCATCGCGATTAGAGCTTCTGAAACGCCATAGAAATGTGACAAAGCTTTCGTTATACAATCCACGTGTGGAGTTCCAAGGTCGAGGAGTGGCACAAAGGCGCGTCTGTGACCCCGTTGGATCGTCGGAAAATTCGCGATGACGCGACAAGACTATTGCGCATCGATAAAAGTCGGTCGATGCTATTAAATTATTAAGAGCAATATTTGCAGGAATAGAAAAATATAGTTAATAAACAAATATAATTATAAATCTTTCGTAACGTGATTAAAATAGTAGCGTGATTAAGACAGTAACGTGAAGGCAGTAAAGAAACGCGCGAGATAAATAATATCGTGATATTTTAATATTCTATATGCGTTCTAGGTCAAAAAAGTTTGAAAATATTTTTTTTAAATTCACATTTTTGGGATACTTACTCAAGTATCTATAATTCTTCAATTATAAGTAAAATTTAAACTAATAAATTTAAATTAAAAAAAAATCTTATTTTTAATCATAAAGCGGATCTTGGTACTTAATTATATGTTTACATGTAAATTTGCAAATACATTGTTCAGTTTTATAAACGCAATCATAAACCAAAGCTGCACGGAAAAAATAAATTTCGTTTGAATTATTTAAAAATTTAGCTACATACAGACCTGAAGATAATTGAACTATCATAATACTTATATAAGAAGTTCAAGCATGCTGCAACAAATTTTGAGCAACATTCGAGCAACAAGTTTGAGCGTCCTACATAATTATTTTAATGGACCAACAAAATTCTTTTCAGATCTGTATCCAGCTGAATTTTTGGATACATCAAAAAAACAATCTTTTTCTTTTATGTGAAAATAATCTCATAAATTACCTTGCTCGTCAATGTAATAATAATAAGTATGTAATAATAATGAGTATCTTAAAACATTGTAAAGAACTTATTGCGAAAAATTATCTGAGTTGGAATTTAAACCTGAATCTTTCTCATTCCGTGCGAGTGTCTTATTAATTCGATTACCGAGGCATGTGAAGATAATTGGCGAAATAATCAGTAAGAGAACATTACTTTTCAAGGAGACGGTATAAACAATCATAAACTTCAGTTTATGATTGCGTTTCAATTAAGTCTAACAAACTGAATCGGCGCGTAATTTATAAAACTAAAAAATACAGTTCCTAATGTATTTACTTTGCACATAAACATTATCAAGCACCAAGAAAAATCGAATTCTTCCTCTTCTTTGAATAATTCTTCAGACTCAAAATCAGTTAACAGATCAGTTAAAAGAATTAAAAAAACATTAAAAAAAACATCGTTGTGAACATTTTAATATTAGTAATCCCAAAAATGTCAAATTTTGAAAAGTGTTTCCAAATTTTTGGTCTAAAGCATCTCAAAGCCGATTATGTCCTTGTAAATGGTCAAGGATCATATCTCTCTAGTTCCAGAGAGAGGAGAGAAATACGCGTTATAAATACGCTTAAAAGCGATCGTTACCTAAGTGGAGTGACTTTTCGCGCCGCGCGTTGCCAAACGCGAGCACGTTAAGCTAATCTTAGCTCTCATTGGACGGGCTCCTCGCAATAGCTTATATTTCGTAACTGCACGCTTTTCTCGTAATTGTCCGCGGGAATCCGATTTAATCCGGGGTAATTAACTCCGAAAAACTCTCTTCAAAGTGACGAAGGCATGCCTTCCCTCACCTTCCTCGGTCTCGTACTCGTCCTCCTCCCGGCACTCCGACAATCTCCTGCCCCAGGGATACGGACTATGCGTCTGGTTCCTCGACGGCAGCCGGTTTACATGCGATAAGAAATAATGATGGAAGAAACTATCCACACCGTCGGAGTCCTCCCCGGAGGACTGTAACATATCCTTAAGCGCCGCCAAAGAGGTGATTGTGTTGTAATTGATCGCCGAGACCAAATCATCCTCGATATCGCTGTCGTCCGTCGTGTCCTCGTTCTTGGAAGTGCTCTCCTTCGATTCCTCTCGCGAAGTCGCTTCCGTTTGCGTCGTCTGAGCCGTTTCCGGCTTCGACGGCTCCGTCTTGTCCTCCGAACTGGTCTCGGACTCGTCGTCGGTAGTGCTGGTGGATGTACTGTCGCTGGACGACTCCTGTTCCTTCTTCTCGCCACCTGGTTGCGTTTCCTTGCGCTCCTCCTCGTCGGCGGACTCCTTGCTGCCCTCGTCCTCCTCGTCGGCCTCCTCGTCGTCGGCCGACAGCGTCTTCTTCAGCGTCTTCATCTCATTCTTCAAATTCATGTTCTCCAGAGACTCACGTTTGTCCTCCGCCTTCATCTTCCGATCGACGTCCTCCTGCCCGGTCGAATCGTCGTCGTCCCGCTTCCTATTATCCCCGTTCACGTCGCACTCGTCCGACTCGTTCTGCTTGTCGTTGCCGGTGCCCTCCATCGAGGAAGCTGAAAGAGAAGGCAAGAATTATCGCTCTCGCGCGCAAGGTCAGGCTTCTCTCCCGCTCTTATATAGTTCCCCATACATAACGTAACGCTAAGCTACGTCGATGCGATCGCGAAATAGAGCGCGTACCTACCGCTTACCGCAATGCGCCAGCGATATAGCGCCTATCCCTACACACACACACACACACACACACACACACAAATTGTCTGCAATTCTCTTTCTCTCTCTTCTTCTTCTTCTTCTAAACCCCTTTTGAATTTCCAATCTACCCTCTCTCTGTCTGAAAGCATCCTCGTGGATGTATACCGCGGGAAGCGGAGCAATTAAAATAATGGCCATGGATTCCGCGAAGTGCGATTTCGAGTCATGAGGACGAGAGCGCATCTGCGAGTCATGGACCAGACGTCGCAGCATTACTACAAGCAAGATCGCGTAAGACGAAAGGGCATAGCGGATTGGAACTTCAGCGGTTCTTTGGCCGAACGCCAAGCGCTCCGTCGTGCGCGAATTACTTGTTTACCGCGTGCTGGCGCGTGACGTAAAACGCTATTCGGCTCGTGGACCCGATCTGAGCGGCCTGGCAGACGTAGGCACGTGACGGATCATGCGAAACATCTCGCAAACGAGCGAGCAAAGTTGAACCAAAAAAATGTTTTATCGCTGATAAATTTCTCTCAGAAGTGTCACGATTCCCGATTCGTTCCCGACGAGGCAGAACAAAAAAGAATTAAGTATGAGTGAGAGAGAGAGAGAGAGAGAGAGAGAGAGATGGGAAAAAGAGAAAAAAATTAACTAGCTCCCTTTTTTATTTTTATATGCATCATATTTTCTTCATTCCTTTGTACGCACATTCCAGACCAAAAGTTTGAAAACACTTTTAAAAAATTGACATTCCTGAAATTACTTACTTAAATATTCATAACAATGTGTTTCTGCAACAATAATTCTTTAGATTCCACAACTGTTATTGGATCTAGAAAAATTATTGTTAAAAAAATACGTGGATATTTCAGTAAGTGATCCAAAAAAAAAATGTCAATTTTTTAAAAAGTGTTTTCCAAACTTTTGAAGTGTGTGTGCCTATCTCTCCCGGATCACTAAAAAGAGAGAAACACAAAATTAAAATCGTTATTCGCGGTAACAGTGTCTCGTGGAGAGCCGATAACCGCGATTTTATATCGACGTTTTATCTCGGAGGTATCACAAGGAAATTCACAAGAATCTTATCGTACGCCACGCGGCAATATGTCACAGAAACAATGTGTGTAAAACTGGGTAATCCGTTACTGGAATTACCACGACAATTAGTGTCATGACGTATGCTGCGCGCTACATCCGTCCGTACTCTCTATTTCTACGAAATCTGCTAACAATTAAATCTCCTTCGCTTTGTTAATATAATTGTGATTTTGTTGCATATGGATGATGATGAAAGTATCGTGCGTGGCTCAAATAAATATATATATATATA